ACTGGCGGTGTAGCAAGTGCACATTTTTTGTGACTGGCGATTGTTTGAATGAAAACATCAAATTTCCGTTAGTTTCCGACTAAAATAAGACCATCCTTTGCTAATAAATAATATTGAAATTAATTTGGCGAAAATTTCTGACACGCTCTTCTTTCTATATATGACATGATTACGTAAAGGAATCAAATGAAAAATATGAAAATTATTGTAATTAATGTGCGTTGTGAAAAATTATGGTGCATAGCGTATTAATTTTCGAATTGTGTTATAGACATGTCTTTTTTTTTATCGTAAATTTGTTGTTGTTCCTTTTTGGCATTGTTTTTGGATCACAGCCTCACAAAACGTTCAACTATTCTTAATTTTCTTTCCTCAAACGTCTTATGCTAGAGCCTAGCGCTTTTGATAGCAGTGCGCATGTTTTACACTGCATGTGATATGAAATGACAGAGAAACTGACAAAAGGGTTTACATCCCTATAGCGAAATGCATAACTAACATTAAAAGCTTCATCACAATCTACCTATTTCCTGGCATATATATCCCAGCCTTCCCTCTAATCAAAGGGCACCTTAATAAAGCTACGCTAGTTATTGTATCTCGAGAAATATTTCTCAATTTCTTATTGATAGAAGTACTTCTTCATTTACATTAATAATTTACGCAAATAACTAATAAGTCGGATCTGAACTATACGCATGTATGTTGTACGGTTGAAGGATCGTTGAAGAAAAAATGCACATGCCATGGAACAGTGATACCAACAATAGGGAATTTGCAGAATAATAAAAGTCAATACCTAAAGATACAAAATATTACTACATCATTACTATTACAAGGCAACAAGTGAATACTAGCTCAGTCACTTTAATACAAGCATTAATGTTAGTTTAATAAGAATCCGTTTTGGGAATAGATTAAGCTTCGGTTCTGACAAATAAATAATAAATTGATAACAATATACTCGAAAGTTCATGCCTATGATGAAACACTATCATTGATTGTAAAACTCAGTGTAACACTCATGAAACCAGGGATAGAAATTCTTTAAGGTATCTTAAGAGTTTACTCTAAAGCAATAGTTCATGAGTGCCTTGTAAACAGTGAGATACTCACAAGTCTGAAGGCGGCAGTTGGTCAGAGAAAATTTTGTAATCAACGCTTGACAGTGCTAACACCGCTCCCTAACAATTAACAAAAAAGAGGCTCGACAACATCAAGCTGTCACTTAATTCGGCCTTTGCCGAAATCCATTCATTTGTGAGAGAACAGCGTGCAAATATCAAGGCTAAGTAGCGCCATCTTCAGTTGCTTTCATCTGGTGTCTAATTTCACTGGTTGGCCTCAGAGGGACTCACAAATTGATGTCGTCTCTAACAAAAAAATCGTAGTTTTCTTAGTCAAAATGTCGTTAGACGATTTGTTCTCGAGCTACAGTGACGCTCTTAGTGGCGCTACTTTCATCCATTTGGAATAATAGAAAAATCCAAACCGCATGTTTTGGTTAGGCATTGTTTTTTCTTGGGAAAACTTACCGTTCCAAATAAGCATTGGTTGAAAAATTGTTGTAGCAACTCTTCTGCAATGAAGGCAACAATTTATCGTTAATTTATCGATTGCTTCTGAATCAATTATACTGAAGGTACACGATGCTCAAAAGAAGTTGTTTTGCTGTTATTTTCTGCTTTCTAAATGGACACTCTGTCACTCACTGTGAAACAAAAACATCATCACAGTAAATTTTGTGCTGTAAAGTCACTCAATAGATTTCAGGTGAACCGTTGGAAACTTTCATATTTTTCTTGGAAGTTTTTGAGTAGAAGTTCCCCCTCTCCAAAACAAAGTTTTTTCACCGCTTCTAAAGCATGAAGGAGATTTTTCTATATTAACTGACCCCCGCCAACAATAGCTTTCTTAACGAATTTTATCTCAAGTCCAATAGGGAAGAAATTATATTGGCATCGTAAGTGAATGTATGGAAACATTTCGTAATTCGAGAGCAAGCTGGCCGATTGAGAATATATTCGTCGGTGCTTCTGTGCTTTTGGGTAAATAGACGCCAATTCTCTTTCATTATTATTTTTTTTTTTTTTTTTGTTGAAAACGAATAAATTACCTGTTAGGCCAAGGCAAGATATGCCAATTACCGTAAAAGAGGCCTTTAAAAATTATCTTTCAACATACAATATATTCCGTTCGCATTTAAAACATGCCAACGTACACGCATGCATGCATGCATACAGGAATAAGTGTTTTTCGTTTACTTTAAATTTTCCATTTAACTCATCAAGCGATTTACAAAACAAATAAATAAATTAACAATACACAGATTAAACAGGCATTACAATGTGCAAGGCAGCGTGTGATTGTGCATACAAAGCATACGCAATGTACATACAATAGAAGATGAACGCAGAAAGGCAAGCATGCATTTATGTATACATTCATATATGAAAACATACTTGTGTATGTACATATGCAGCAACTCGCGTAGTTATTAATTTCTTTTCTAGAGATCTGCTGGTGCATACATGTCGGAGATAAGATATACAATAATCATCCCTGCAGCCAATATAGCTGCTATTTGTTTAATTAAATAATAGGAGCAGCAAATCAGTTTTTATTTACTCTTATAATACTAATTAATATTAATTAAAGGAAAAAGTCTTGGAAGCATATGGAAAGAAATAATAATCCTAATTATCTCCAATGAAGAAATCTGACGAAAAGTTTTCCAAAGATTAGCGATATAACAAAGGCCCATAGTCTATACACATAGAGTTTGTTTTAAAGTAAAATTAATTGTAAAATTTTAATAAAATAGGAAGATTTCATCTTTATGTTTGCATAATTGCATGAATTCAGACATAAAATACAAATCTTTCCACCGGAAGACGGACCGAGTATTTTAAAGGGGGCGTCAAAAGGGCAATGTAAGCATCGACTCACGAAGAAGACGAAAATGATGAATGAAAAAAGAAAATTTTTGTATTTCTCTAATGCAATGGATCCAAGTCCCAACAACAGTTGTAGGGTCGTTCAGAAAATAACGCCTTTCGGCGCCATATCTTTCCAAAATCGGTTAAGTGTGTTGAACAATTTTAATGATTAGTTCAGGAGACAGCAATTTTTGTATGCTACTGTTTGTGAAAGGCTTTGTTTAGCTAAATTTTTTCCTATCAAGGGCAAGGGTACAAGCATTTATTGTCCAACTCTTATACATAGTAAAACGCTTTACATTTTATCATAGAAAAGTATTAAATATGAGAATTTTCTTTTTGAATTCAATTTCAATTTGGTCCCTTGTGTTTGCTATTGTTCGCCAAAGGACCTTGGACGAATATACAATCACACGGCGTATAGAAATTGTTAAAAGTTATTACAAAAATAATGAACCTAATGGGGCTATGTTCCATGCATGTGGAGTACAGTTTACATTTCGTTAATTGGCTTCGTAGATAAGGGAAATTGGCTCTTTGGCGTAAAGGCAGCCTACTTCCTATTCCAAAAAGAATCTTACGTGCATAATGATAAAGTTTTGGGTGTGGTTTGTGGGTTTGTGAGTTGAAAATGCTGAGGAATGAGGAATTTGGCGGAAGTGTACTTTCACGTTCTGATGATGAGTATCGGCTACAAAGGTCGCACGATTTCTTACCGCTGGCCCTTCTTCGGTGGGATCAAGTTTATGTGGATAATCTTCAAACTGTAAAGGCTTTGCAAATGAACATCCGTTAAGATATGGGCGAGCTGCTGCATACTGTACCAAAGACAAGCCATCGAATATTGCCTCAAAAGGATCCATATCTTATAAGATGCTGCATTCCACAAATTATCGCAAGGTCCAAGCAGTATATTAAAAAAAAGGATCCGTATCTTAATTAAAAGTGTGTTTTATTTACGTTTACTTTCAGAACCACGAAATGTGTAACCTTGTACTTACAACTTGTAAATAAATATAAAATTTTGATGAAATATCTAAAAAAGACAATATATCGGCGAAAAAGTTTATACAAAATCCAAATTTAATCATCGAAAGAATTTCAATCAAGAAATATAATCTGTACAAGAGGCTCTCTAACATATCTTTCTGTCCTTTTTATTGAACGAGTTGTCAGTACCTCCAACACATGCTTCAGTTTCATTTTATCCGAACGTTTCCGCCGGAGCTGTTCAGATTTGCAAACTGATAAGAGTCCCTGGAGTCGAGTTTGAGCTCAAGTTGCTGTTTTTCCTCCATTGCGAGCAATTACGGTACACATTCCGAAAACATCTTTTTCATCCCATTCAGATCGTGAATACACTGCTCTTTAATATCGTTAGGGTATCAGCTAACTCAGGCAACTTCACGTTTTAATTATTGAAAATAATCTTCAGAACAGGTGTGAATAAGATGTTGGAAGAACGTGAAATTTGGTCAGGCTCTGTTTGTGATCTCTAAGCGTCAGTACCGGGAATTATTGATTGACAAGTTACTTTTAAATTTAGTACACGGTAACGGGCAGAAAGAAATGGGGACACAAATATCGAGATGGCCTGAGCCTACTAAGGGTGTGCCCTGTCGGTACGCTTCGTTACGCTTTAACCAACTAAGCGCTCAAGCAATCAAAGTAAATTCTACTGTCCTTAGAATTGAACTCGCGAATACTGACTTGGTAGTCGCGATTCTTACATAGTCAGCTATTTATGCGCACAATTCATCTGGTCCACTAGCTTGCCCAAGATTAACAAACAACTGCACGGGTGTTGCATATGTACTCAAGATGTTCGCTATCCAACTTCACTGTACTTTTATTATTTTTTTTCTTAGCATAATAAAACTTAACAAACCTATCCTTAGTGGTTCCTATTTTACTTGATTATAATTTATTATGTTTCACGTTATGCGCACATGATTGGAAGAAATTCATAATTATTGTTCAGTTTAGAAACGTATTATAGTTAGTTTAGTCCATACTCTCTCGTTTAATGTAATTATAAAAGAATAATATTAAGAGAAACTCTTAACTCTTAACTTTAGCACTATTCCTTGAGGTGGCTATAAAGGGCCTTGTTATAGAGGGACATTCAAAGCGTTTGAAGGGCTCATTCATATCGACTTGTTTTTGCCCATCAGGCTGTAACATGCTGTTCCATAAGGCATTGGCTGCCGTAGCTTGACCCAACTGACTGAAGTGAAAGCAATCGTTCGACAAATAACGCATATCCAGCGCACCATTGCTCAAAAGGGGAAACGATGCATTAACAACGAATGGATGAAAAATTACAGCAAAATTGTCAGTTTGAAATTCCGCTAAATTGGCGACGCGTTGATCAATGCCTTGCCATTGCTGCATCAAATTGGAAATCATTTGTAAATAATTGTTGTCATAGCGATCGCTGAAAATGCAGTGACATACGAAACGTTGGATAGTTTGACACATCCAGTTCACCTTCTTTAGGTGGTTGTAAAGACTATTGATTAAATTCGGTATAGTCAGTAAGTTCACCAACAAACGCGGCACATTTTCCTTTAACAAACGGAAAGCATTGAGTAGATCTTTCTCGTGGTTTCTTAGAAATATTGTTCTATTATCGTAGTGACAAAAATCTGTGCAAAAGTCATTATTGCCCACAAAGATGGTTAACAGTTTCCAATGACGTTCCATATCAATATGAGAATCTTGACGCATACGTGCTATCAGCACGCGTGATTGATATTCCAAATCACGTGACATCATTATAGGCTCAGCGATATTCAAATAGGCAGACTTATCTATTGCTAAACGACTATCGGTTGCATATCCATACAAGTTAGGATTAAAGACCTTTAATATGTTGGGCAAAGTTAAGTATTTGCGCCAATTAGCGGCACCTCCGCCGGAGAAGGATAGACCACGAAATTCAGTGACCAAATGTAAAATATGCTGAGATAGCGCACCATTGCCGGAAGACAAGGAATCACCTATGGCTGCAACAACATCTATGTCGCCGGGTCTTAAACGATCTACGCTTGTGGGTGGTTCCGTTGAACGCACACTTGTTAAGTTACAAGGGAAAGGTATACCCTCTTCTACTGGCTTTTGCATCTTTCCTTGTTTCCAGTTATAACGTTGTAATCGTCTCCTATTGTCCGCGGCCTGTTGTTGCAGGGTTGCACGTACATTTACTAACGCGTCCCGCATATTTTCCAAATTTGTTACCAACAATTCACCATTTTTCGCTTTGTCCCAATTAAACGTTTGCTGTTGTATGCCCGACATTTTTAAAAAATATAAAGCCTTGCCCTCTGCATCGGCAACATCGGCATTAATAGGACGAATGAAAATTTCTTCTATTGTCACCACAAGCAGGCAATAAAAAAAGTTAATTGACATCTTTGAAAGTATTGTGCAATGAAAGAGCGTTCTTTACAACACGACTTCACTAATGCAACTGTTACGCCGAGCTGTGACTTGAAACTGAAATAGTGCGATTTATGAGAGTCTTACTAAATGCTGATCAATTCAGAACTTTTTTTTGTTTTTATAATTTAAATTTAACAAATACACCGTACATGACCTAGACATTCTCTTATAGAGTAAGCGTAAGGAAAACATTTATTTATAAAGTTGTATGAGACACTACTGGCACATAAACCGAGCGGTAAACAGGTTAATCGGACAGTTATGCGATGTAGAAGAGAAGACATTAATGATGCACCCTACTAACAATTTGATGTCGAATCGAAAAGGATGATGGAAAGCAATTAAGACGTGTTTGTTAATCATAAACGATTCCAAAAGCATTTACTCGATATCGCAAAGATGAGAAGAATTAAACCTATTAGCCAGCTTAGCACGTGAGTGATAAGAAGGTGACAAAAAGCATAAGGCGACTTCTTTTCCCTTCAGGATACTAAACTCTGCTAACCCAACTAATTATCTCATTTCCAAATACATAGGATTGGTTGTTTCATCTGAAAGAGAAACAACAAAAAAAAATAAACGAAATCATTTTATCTACAATCACGAGTAGCATACAAGTGAAGTTCATTGTAAACTTTCATTTCACTTATGTCAAACGCTTTTCAGGTAATACTTGGAGGCCCAAACTATTGTAAAAGATTTTTAAATTTGCCAGGAAAGATAAAGAGACAGAAGAAAAATTATGATTCAATTTATAACGAATTAACGCTTCCCGCTACACAGTGGATAGTTAAGGTCCAAAACGATGTAAGGGGATCTGATGCAGTTGACTGAACGCATGTGCGTTCACGTTTACCCATAATGTTTAACACGATTTAATATACCATAGATCATGTTTTTTTTTTTTTTTTTTTTTTCGTATAAATACTTTGTAGCTGAGTGAAAAAGCAGAGGCCACAAGTTTACTTGCACGTTATTAAGAGGCAATTATTTCAATATTACTCCAAAATGTATATATTATTATATTATAGAAATCAATGCTGCATAACAGGTTTATGTCGATGCCAAAAATATAAAATTTTATATGGAAATTACTTTACAGAAACACGATGACAATGTAACACAAAGTTGAAATGAAAATTCAAGACTCTCAAGACCTTGACCTTGACGGCAAGTTGTTATGCAAATGATGCATCTATTTAACTATGGGCAATTTTTAGAACTCTACTGAAAGTGCTAATGGAACTATTGTCACTTTTTCAGCTTTTTTTTTCATTCAAATATTGATTTTAATTTTTTTGCTTTTTTTTGTTTTTCTGGTTTCAAATTAACTAAGAAAACTAATTTGTAGAGTGTAAACACTTCAGCTTTGTGTATTTACTGAGATGTTATTATTATGTACATTTTTAAGCTGTAATTGCTTTCTGCTGTGTATCAAATAGATTTATCTATACAATTAAAATTTACACATAATTTTTTTGTTTTTTTTTCCTTTTTTTTTTTCATTTCTGTGGTTAACTTCAGTTGATTTCTGTTTGATTTTTATTTCTTTTATTATACGCTTTATATTGTACGTCGCGTTTTGAACTTGGCACAGACAGAATTTGTGGTTTTGGTACATAATCGCAATGCCCATGCTGCTGTATGTTAATAATTTCAAAGACAGCGAATCATTGTATTGTAAATGAAATAAGCTACTTAACCGAGTCATATTGTATTATAAATGAAAACATGTTTTTCGTTTTATTTATTTATTATTTTTTATTACATGTTTATGAATCCATAAATTTTTTTTTATTCATTCGAAAAAATGCTGCATATATAGGGCATAATTGTTACAAAGTTAGAGTAAATTTTCTAGAAATTGTGCAGAAACTAATTTCCTTAAAACAAAAGCCAAAGAAACCACAAGCTGTTCATTACTTTTAATAGATGCTTATCACTTTAAACAGTATTTATGTCGACCTTGAAAAGTAAAAGTGAAAGTATGGCCCCCTCTCCCCATCCATTCACCCCTTCTTACCAAAAATCAGATAAGCTACGTTTACTGGAGTATCATGAACTAAATCTAGAAGTAATAAAAACTTCGTAGCTAAGTTCTACAATTTTTTAAAATTTCTAACAATTTAGAAAACGCACCCTATACATGTTTAAACATGGTGGCCGTCAAGATCGTCCCAGAGACGGAAATGTGGAAAGCGTAATAAGGGCCGATTGGTAAGTATTATGCCTTTACCGATCAAGTACGTACTAGAGCTGCGGCCACACGCCAATCATACTTAACGTACGGTCTACGCGGCCAGAAATTGCATCGGTGTGCCAACTTGCTATTCGCGTTCTTCTCTAGCAGACTATACGGCAGCTCTCGGTTGCAATCGCTCTACTAATTATCAAAAAACCGCTTATGAACACAGTGAAGACTTTGTGCATGGCATGGCTTCCGCAAAGATTGTTAAAAAGCTTTTAATAATAAAATTTAATTACGATGCTTTTGCTGTTCTTTTAATAGAATCTCTTGGCGTTATTTTGCAAACACAAGAACTGCTGTAAATATGTATTATAGAACAATGTTTGCGTATGAAAGCAGTTCGACTAATAAATTTACTATACCGATGACTATTCTGTTTTAAAACTACTTAACAGTAGCATAAAATGTGAACCCATTCACATCATAAGTGCATAGAGGGGCGTAGCTTGCGTTGCTTACAATACTAAAACCCAGTTAGTTTTCTTTGATGTTTTGTTCCATCATCATAACACATACGCACGATTTTGGTATGGCGAGATATTTGTAAACGGAAGACGGTTTATAAATCCCCCAAACTCGCTTGTCGCTTGAATATGTTACAATTTTGCGCTTGAAAGAATTTTCACTCGGCAGAGAGAAAAATGCATAATTTATCAAAAACTCTTAATCCTCCGTTCGTTACAGCGAGTCCCAAATCCACAGCTATCGAGCTTATTCGATATCGAAAACCATATATTGGCCCCAAAACATTGTGTTTACTGCCGTAGGACTACATGGACTGACCATTTCTTTCATACTGAGCATAATTATTATATTTAAATTCTTTTCGGATGTGAATATCTTTACTCGATAAGAATAAAAAAATGATACGAACCAATTTCCAAAATAAATACGACTATCGGAAAATTCTGTCCAAAATGGTTCGTTAACTTGAGTTAAGCTTTTGCAAACCATCTTCTGCATTATTCTGTTCTAACAGAAACTGCACCTCTACCGAACACTTTCAATAAATTTCTACATGCTTCTATCGCATTGCGTTCTTGTTGGAATTCGTGCAACATACAATCGCGTAAATGCGATTTATCAGTAGCTACGCCTACGGTCGCGGGTCATTTAACACGAACGTGAATCGTCCTCATTTTCACCCATTTGCCAGTTCACCATGTATAAAAGTGATAGAAAGAAAGAGACAAGCATACATTAAATGAATTTACGCATAATTTTTGAAACTTTTTGTAACCAGAATGGGCAGAACTTTCCGGTGGACCTATTATCTATGTCCGAACCTCACGAAATACATAATGCAGCAAGTCTGGCAATCTGTCTGAAAACAATGAACTATACGAGAGCAGTCGACTGCACACGCAAACGAATCGATTAAATCATATGCTAGGATGTGATTGTATGGCGTTTCAGTATAATTCGGAAATTAAATATAACTTGCATGCAGTTATGGTTGTTGAAAGTCTGGATCGAAGTTAAAATATATTCTGGAATTCGGCTTGTTCTTCTAATGTTTCCATACCGTCCAGTGTTCCCTAAGAGAGCCACTTAGGTCCTCTTTTTTTTGTACGCTACACCAGTTGTGGCACAAAAGCATAGCATGTTTGTGGACATGACTTCACCTTTCATTATACCTATCGGTTTATGGCCACTTTCTGAATCAAGTTAACCTTGTCTGTCCGTCTATACATATTGTTTTGTTGTGCTCAACGTACAGGTCGCAATTTCTGGCATATTGTTTTTGTTTCTCTTATTTACTAAGGGCCTTCCCAGTTGTGGCTGAACTGTTGTCCTTCTCGTGACGCAATAAGCTACTTGCTAATTATGTTATTGCCATATCCAAGCTCTATAATTTCTCTCTTTTTAAAGATGCAGATGTTGTTTTCGATTCTAGACCAAATTGGATCCGCCATGTTGAAACAAATGTTGACAAAAGCAAATTTATTTTAGTATTCATGAAGAAGTGGTGTCACGAATATGATGATCATTACATCACTTAGCCCTTATAGGCGGCATTAGTTAAGAGTCTAAATTAGAGTATGTTGGTAGATGCTACACCGATTAGAGTAAATTAGTGCAAAGGAATTTTTAAGTCCATTAACCATAACACTTGTAATCTTGGTTGTACGCTCTGTTAAATGTACAATGGTTAACCGTCATTTGTTCGACGTAACCACGGATTCTAATAATACTATTAAAAGTTGCTTGTTACGTCACTCGTTACCTTACATTGTTGATTTTTCACTTTTCATTCTCATATGCTTGTGCAAATGCCCAGTCATTGCTTTGTCATGTACATACATGTATGTTAAATATCGTGTTGTTTCACGCATATAACACGGTGTAGTAACATTTATTTTAACTAATTGTATGAAAACCGTAAGTTTATTATTACAAGGTGTATTATCGTTCTCTTTATTATCATTTAATTGTAATTCGTCAATCCTTAAATCCATATGTTGGCTGAGAGTAATATGTTTGTAGCGAATATTTTGATATAAATAAAAAAGCATTTTCATAACGATCACACAGTCGTATGTAGGATGACGAGTTCAAGATTTTTATTTAACATAAATTTTTAACGGTCATGGCAGCTTTAAATTGCCTTTATACCGCTTCATTTATTGATTGGCTATTGTCCTGCTTATGACAGCAACATTACCATAGAAGATTCAGTAAATTGCTTTCTTTATTTCAATTGCGCAACAGGTGTTAGTAG